CCTGGAGAAAGGAGGGCAAGCATGTCCCCCACATCCTAGGCCCAACTGCCCGTCAGTTATCAGGACAGCATTCAATTGTAGACCTTTCTCTTCATCTGTTGACTCAAATGAACCTGCTAAAATTCTTTGGGTAAAGCAGTGAGACTCGGGTGCCCATGAAGCAGTCTGCTTCAATATTCCAGGTGTCCTGACTTCCTTGGCATTCTGTCTCTGCTGGTTCTGGTTCTGGGATCGAGCTTGTCAAAATGCTGCCTCTTCAGTCTTGTTGCTGCTGGTGTAGCTGCTGCTGCTGCTTATAAAGATACATTGAGAGGTTGGCATCTAATTTCCACCCCAAAGAGGCACAGGAAGAGAGTAGGTACGTGTATGTGCTTTGGAGGAGATGGGATTGGGAGGAGGCCAGTCAGAAACAGAAAAAGGGCCTTTCTTTGCCCGGAAAAGGTCTTTCTCAATCCAAATGGAGCCAGAGCCCTAGAACAGATAAGTCATTATGACAGGTACCATAGACATGAACGACATTCTCTTTTGTAACCTAGCTGAAGTTGACAGAAAGCTAAATCTAATCTGAAAGTTAGGTTATTGGTTCAACTCAGTTTTACTTGGTCATTGAATATTTTCTTTCTGTATGTTTTCATATTTTGAGATTTTTAAAATCTCTGTATTTTTGTACCTTTTCTGTTTGTTTTGTAAATTGGCTTATTTTAAAAATAAACCATTTATTTTCCATTTTGAATTTTAGTTTGTGCATCTTTCTTTCCATTTTTTTTTTAAGTTTACTTTGGGACTTTAGCTACTAAGATGAGATCAATCCTTCATGATGGCATGTGATTAGTGAGACATAAGGGAAAAAAGTTTCACTTAAAGAAGACTTTTGTACCTGGAGCATGTCTGAGAACAAGGGTGTTGGTCCTACTTGCCAACAGATATTACATAGGAGCATACAAGAAAGAAAAGTTAGAGGTGGCAGATCTGAATGCCAGGGCGGGTTATAGATTCTTTGTCATTTCATGGACTTTGAAAAATGCTAACTTGTGTCAAATGTGGCCAGCCTCATGCATAACTTTCTCTACTTTCTACATAAATTAACCAAGAGAGTAGCAAGGGGAAAGATAGACTAAGGAATCCATCTCCTCCATGCATTCTTCAAGCTATTTCCAAAAGCAAGCTGTTGCCAGCCTCCTGAGTACTTAGAGTGGCAGGATGGGACCTCGGGGCTTCTGATTCTAAGGTGAATGCTTTTTCTAGAACATTAATGCTTACCTCTCTTTGAAAGTTTATCTCCCATCCCAAGCCATGATGTCAAGATTTTGACTCTGTTCTAGCACTGGAAATCATCTTGGAACCCATCTATTCCAAACAATTTATTTTACAGATGAAGGAATGATACCTAGATCAAAGAAGTAGTTTACCCAAAGTCAACCAAGTAGCAAGTAAATGTGGATTTGAACCCCGGTCTTAAGAGTACCAAAAAAAGATGGTCACACATACAGATAATGGAGTGCTCTATTCTTTGTGCTTTTCTTCAGATTCCTTCACCCCAGCCAATTACTTTCCCTTTTGGGCACCACTACAAATTCCATCCTTCATTGAAGGCTGCTCAGGCTTCTTTGGTTTCTCCCCACTCAATCTCCATGCTTGATACTCTGTTTGCTATCCTGGAGCTCCAAAGTAGTCTCAAGGATGAGACAAAGGAGCTAAGTGATTCAGAGGCATTTTCATCTCCACCAGATGCACATGTCCAAAGAAGATTTAAAGAGAAGAACTGTCATTCTGTAGCAAACGCTCACAATAAAGTAAGATTTTTAAACTCTGCAGCCAAATTGTACCTTCTACCCAGGTAAATATCTTGGCAGACAATCCCCCCTTCTACCCCATCGATATTCTGTGCACTCAACATTAAAATGCTAGACAGAGATTTAGGGTTGCTATCTTTTCTACAGCTACCTTGGGTAGCAACTGAGAGGATGTAACTAGAGTAATCTCCATGGTAACCTGCAGCAAGACTAGGGATGCTCGGAAAGGACAGTGCAGGCTGGTGATAAACATTGCCCTCAACCAGGAAACTGCACTTCCAAGCCAGGTTAGGAGCTCTCATACAGAATTCAAAGTTTTGCTTTTCTGCTAATTCACCTGACCCTCCAACACACATACACGTGCACACACACATGTGTGCTCACACACAGGCACACGCACATTTTTTAAACAACAAATAATATTTTTCCTGTTTAATTCCCCACCTCTTTCACCAGCTTTGGCTTCAAAATAACAATTGGCTATGAAAGACAGAAACTTACTTTGGTTGAGGTTTTTGAAAGAGTCTCTGGATCATTGTAGGCAGTAGTTAAAGATGAAATCCAAACATGTTTTAAATTAGGATAGCATCTCGGAACAAGTGCATAGAGATTACTTAGAAGGCAGCAACAGCTTTGGATACCTACGTCCAGATATGTTTAGAAACTCTGTCTTATATCTCATATAACATGGGTCATGGCAAGCATGTTTTTCTATTGTGGAAAATACAAAACACATTCACCAAGTGATCTATCCATCAATCGATAAACATTTAGTAAGTGCCCACAGCGTACCAGAACTGTGCAAAGCACTGGAGATCCAACAAAATGCTAAGATCTCAAGGAGTTCATAGTCCGATGGGGGAGACAACATGGAAATAAAAGCTCTATACAGATAAATTGGAAATAATCACCAGAGGAAAGGCACTAGCATTCGGGGGGCTCAGGAAAGGGTTCCTCTAGAACAAGGCTTTTTAAACTGTTACCACTCTCAAACCTTTCAGTGTTTCTTAAAGTGTGGGTTGAAACCCCATGGAAGGTAAGTTTTTGCTGGGCCTTGAAGGAAGCGAGGAAAGCCAGAATGTAGGGATGAAGAGGGTCAGCATTGCAGGCATAAGGGACAAGTACAGAAAATGGCTCTGTAAGGTGATGGAGTGTCCTGTGTGTGGAGCAACGAGGAGGCACTGGGTCAGAGTATGTGGTGGTGGGGAAATGAAACAAGGTATAAAAACAAGGAAGGTTCACAGGGTGAGGGCAGGGGGTGCAGGGTTCAAAACCACTTTGAATGACAATCAGAGAATTTCATGTTTTATCCTAGAGGAGATAAGCAGTGGTTAAAGTTTACTGAGTACCTGCGTTATTTTAGTAAGATCACTTTGGGTGGAGGATGGACTAGTGGACTAGGGTGGGCAAATGATTCCTGGCTAGCAGCCCAACCAGTAGGTTATCCACAATAGTCCAGGTGTGAGGAGATGAGGGCCTGCACCAGGATGGTGGCAATGTCAGAGGAGAGAAGAGGATGGATTGGAGAGATGTTACAAAAAGAAAACTGACAAGCCTTGGCAACAGATTGCAAACAGGTAGAGGGTAAGAGAGTTGAGTCGAGGATGACACTGATGTTGTGAGCCTTAATTGCTAGTCCATCTATACTAGAGGAGATAAGGGAAGTAGGAAGGAAAAAAAATAGATTTTTGGAGGTAAGAGGAATTTTAGGCTGCTTTTGTAGGACATTAAAAAAAATGCTTATTGAGCTATTATCCACCCACCCCCGCCCCCATTATGGTTAGAGCCAGCCAACAGGTCTTTTGCTGAGTATGCATCTCTTTAGCTGTCCTTAATGATTCATGATCATTCCATTAATTGGAGAGAATTAATTTGATAAGCCACCTACCTCTATTAAATCCCTGTCAGCTTCCTTGTGATCCAATTACGTGTAACTCATCAGCCTTCATTTATGGGCATATAAAGTACGGGCCTGAGGTCATCCTTTAACTGATAACAATGAAAACGCTGCGTCGGTATCCAAGGGACATTTGTCAGTATGCTTTTTAAAGGGCTCCACATTTTTCTTTACACCCTTAGAAGGGATGGCTTTCCTAGGAAAAGGATAGTGTGTTTTTGAAGCACTGAGCTAGCAGGGTCCACTCCAAAGTAAGTATTTGTACTTGACATTTATATGGCTCTCTACAGCTCACGGAATGCTGTAAGAGCATTATCTCACTTGACGACAGCGGCATCTCTGAGAGGCGGGCACTGTGGGTATGGTTATTATCCTCAGAGAGGCCGATGAAGCTACATTCAGATGCCTCATTGCAGGTGAGGCATCTGAGGCTGAGAGGCAGTAAATGACGAGCCTACGGCCACCCAGCTAGAAAGTATCAGAGGCCAGCTTTAGTCCCAGGATTGCCCTGACTCCATGCCCTGCACTAATCCACTGCAGAATATGACCTTTTCTGAAATGGCATTTAGTATCCTCTCTCTTCCTGGACTGCTCCATTTTCTTTTCCCAAATTCAACAGAGAAAATGTCTGAGTTGAGACCCAGTCTGTAGAGTTTGACTTGTAATCCCATAGCCTCAATTATTGATGAAAAGATATTTTCCAGATAGATGGGGGCTAAATTGGCACTTGTGACCTGTCCTTAGGATGCATGGCATATTTATTGGGCTTTCTCTACCTGCATATGTTAATGGAAAGATATGGATATATTACATACCTACATACACACATATACATGTAAATACAAATATACATACATATATACCTATATACTATGTGTACACATACACACACACACATATATGTGTATATACATTTACACATACATATACCTGTAAGAGCAACAGTTATAAAATATAGGCAAATATCTATATTTCATATAGGTATCAAATGTATGTATATATGTACACTCTATTGCTTTTACATTCACTCCATTTCACTTATCCTCCACTCTTCTCAACGGGACTTTCCCTTGTAACATAAAATAGAAAAGAATGACAGAAGACAAAAACATATGTAAGCCAAACAAGCAACACGCCAACTATCTTTGCCAGTATAAGCCAAATTTCATAATCTTAGTCCTTTATCTCTGTAAAGAAAGGAGCTGTATTTTCTTGACTCTTATCCAAAGCCAGATTTTGGCCTTGTAGTGGGTCTTCATCCTTTTGCTAGTCTGTTATCCTTCTCTCTCTTTTCTACTTTTCTCATCTAGACACCGTGGAAGCTGTTTTCGACTTCATTCAGAGAAGCCGGAGGATGATTGTGGTCCTTAGCCCTGATTACCTGACAGAGAAGAGCATCAGTTTGCTGGAGTTTAAACTGGGGGTGCTATGCCAGAACTCCATCGCCACCCAGCTGGTGGTGGTGGAGTACCGGCCCTTAGAGAGCACCCACACCCTAGCATCCTGCAGTTGAAGGACTCTGTCTCCTTTGTGAGCTGGGAGGGTGAGAGGTCCAAACGTTCGGGGTCCCGATTCTGGAAGGCCTTGCGCTTGGCTTTACCTTTGAGGAGCCTGAGCTCGGGCTCAGGCTGGAATGAGAGTTGCTCCTCCCAGTCAGATATCAGCCTTGACCATGTCCAGAGAAGGAGGGGCCGTTTGAAAGTGCCACCAGAGCTCCTGGGTTCAAGGAGAGCGGCAGGGACAGCTCCAGCCCCCACAGGGGTGGCAGCCAAACAAGGCAAGGCCTCAGGGGCCTGTCGGTGTTGTGTGACCTACTGCAAAGGGGAGAAGCCACTCAGGAACAAGAATCGAGCAGAGGCCCCCACCCAGACGCAATGGGAGACTCACCTTTGCAAACCTGTTCCCCAGCAGGTGGGAACTCATTGGGTTCAAAATGGTAACAGACTGAATACGACAGCTCCCCAGATCTCAGCCCTCGCCATTCATCATTTCACAGATCTATCCAATAACAACGACTTCTATGTCCTCTGATCCCAAAGTGCCCTGGGTGCAGCTTTCCCTATTTGCCCCATTTCTTCGATGAACCAGTGGGAAAAGTGAACACTTGGAACCACAGAGTGGGCCAGTCAATGGTGTCTTTATTGCTACAACTTCTCATTTGTTCCTAACTGACAAAAGGCCTGAGGGGTCTGGATTCATTCCCAACGACCTGAGAAGACCTTATAGATCTTCGGCTGGCATAAGAGGCTTGTTCTGAGTATAGCACTTTAGATTCTAACCTACCACTCACAACCTGAAGCCTGAGAGAAGAATTTTGATTACTTTTTGGTGCGCCCTTTCTAAAGACTCCATGCTACAGAGTGGTCAGGTACATTTGGGCTGTGAAACATTCAGGGTGGGTCTGCCTTGGAAGTGTACTCAAGGGAGACAATGGTGCCTGGTAGAAACTATTCTATTCCAAATTGTCATTGAAATAGAGGGGGAGAATGCAAAACAGAAAAAAACAAACAACCGACCTGGCAGCTCCTGGTCCATTCTGCTCCCCCCTCCCTCAAAGCCCCAGAAGCTGAAGATACACTAGAGCAAAGTAAAATATTTCCTCCTTTTACATAGTCATGTGCCCTGGACTAGTCAATGATTGTGTTAATAATGTTCAATTTTTACGGCCTTTAACTGGTCCTAAACGTATGACCTCACTCTTTCCTTCCCATATGGAGCTGTTTAAAATTTATACCAGAATTCATTTCCTTCTCTTCGGGGACTGTTGGAATTCGAGTCTTTTAGTAAGTCCTGACCCAGTTCAGGACTCAGAAGAGTGGAACAATCTTATTTAAGCACCAACACTTTGTACGTTAAGAAGTTCAGGAACAGACCAGTGCTGGACAAAGCAAAAAATGGAAAAAAAGAGATAGAATTGACCTGAAGGACCTTCAAATTTAGAACCCGGACATTGAAAGCGGCAGATTCAACATAATTCTGGAAAGAACTTGTGACTTTTCCAAAGATAGCCCAGCCTGCCCAAATTTCTGTAATGTAAGAATTCCACATATTCCAAAGTGCCTTTTCCCACAATCCGCTTGGTTTTGAATAGCTGGATTCTTAGGCATAACATAGTATGTCTCTGGGTTCAGAGATTCTCACCTGGGAAATTGATGACAGTCTTTCCTGAATATTGTGCTATGAAGAATTATGGCTGGAGATCCCTAAAAGTGTGTACTCAACTGAAGAGAATGAATTTTTGCTGTTACAATGTTTAAAAATGTAAAATATGTTTTGAAAACTTGCAGATGATGAGTTTTGTTCTTCATATAAAACCTGATTTGCTTGAAAGCAGAAGGGCAGGTAGGCAGGAGATCACAGGTGACAGGACTATAGGAATTCGGTGTGAGTTCTGTACCTGTGCGAATGACTCACAGACAGTGGAAGAGCTTTAAACTTCCTGTCAGCCTGGGAGTGCCGTGAGTTTGCACACATGCCTAAATTTGAGTCAAAGCCTGGGAGACTCATTCAGGAAGGTAATTTACTTACAGAAGTCGTAGACATAAGAATTCAACAATAGCATGCATTTATTAAGTACCTACTGTACTCCAGGTAGTGTGTTAGAGGCTATGAAAGCAAAACAAAGCCAAACGAGAACAAGCAGAACTAAACAAACAAACAAGCAAAAAACCTCTGCCCTCAGTCAGCTGACCTTCTATTGGGACACACAGCATGTACACAAGTAAGGAAATACAAAAGAATTTGAAGGAGTAGCACTATCAGCAGGGAGAACCAGAACAGGTCTGTATAGAAGGTGCCTCCTGAAGGAGGCTAGGGAATCCCTGAGACAAAAGGGAGGAACAAGAGCATTCCAAGTGTGGCAACCCTCTGGGAAAAGACCCAGAGCTAGGAATGGAACCCCACATGCCCACTTCATAGGAAAAGCACTGGGATTAAAAGGTGGTTTATGTCAGGCACTAGCGGCTTGGTGGAATAGGCAACACTATTCCAAACATGAAAAGACAGATGATGAGAAGAAAGATAGGTTCCACCTCACTCTGTATTGCTCCAGAATACCATTGTGTGTGGAAATGTTAAACTGGTTATTCCAGGTCCTGACAGAACAATTTCCCTGGATCAAAATGTAGCCATTTTTATGCTTGTGCAAGCACGCAAATATTATAAATTATAATACCTATCTCCTTGCCAGTCCAAACAGCTGCCATATGAGAGACAATTGCAGAGATAGTGAGACAGATGGGAGAGAGAGGGGGAGAGAGAGAGAGAGAGAGAAAGAAGAAAGGAAGGAAGAAAGAAAGAAAGAAAGAAAGAAAGAAAGAAAGAAGAAAGAAAGAAAGAAAGAAAGAGTAACTAACTTCCTGTTGGATAATTGGAATATGGAAGGAAATCACCTCCCCTCCTTATGTTCACATGCCTACCGTTAGAATTCAGCTTTGTACCTTTCTTCTGTACTAGTGACTTATATAGTAAGCACTCCATAAATGCTTCTTAATTAACACGTGAACTAGACAGACCTGTCACATTCAACTTGGGCTCCCTGATAACAGCCAAGCAGTCAATTGCAACTTTTATTTCTCCTCTCTCTTTTTTTATTACAAATTGTCCTTTTCAAATAACTGCATGATCCGCTTTTGTAATACTTTTAACATCTTAATCGTATTATCTCATTTAATTCTTCTAATTGCCATGTAAAGTTGGCATCCCAGATATTAGTATCCCTATTTTACAGATGCAAAAATAAACCCTGAAGCTTAAAGGTATACTGAAACCTTAAAGGGGTTCATGGGTGGGTTTTGAGCTTGGAGCAGACACCATCATATAATAGAGCGATTAAAACAATATTGTTGTATTCAAAGTCAGGATTCCAATAACAGTGTGACCTTAAGATTTCTTAAACTCTCTGGGCCTCAGTTTCCTCATCTGTAAATGATTAAGTCTCAGCTAGTTGTCCATAATGATCTCTTCTGAATTTAAATCTATAACCAGAGGTCTATCTTGACTCTGCTGCTTTCATTTCCTTTTTCAAGAATCTACAATCACGGCACCCTCTGTTAGGAGACTGAATCAGGAGATAAAGGATCATATATGAGGAAAACATAGCTGGTTATTGTGGCAAGATAGTAGCGATTGAATAAAGTTTGCCAATAACACCCGAGACAATTAGAAGTGTAGGAAGAGGTCAGAGTATGAAAGACTCTTAATGACAAGTAGTGAATTTTATATTTGATCTTCGACACAATGCTAAGTCTCATGAGGGCGAAGTGACACACCCGCTGTCAGGTAGCAGGCAGGATTTCACCCCAGTTTTCTCCTCATTCCTTGTGCTGTGCTCTTTTCATTACACTTCTACGGTTCAAGGGAAACATTCATCACTTTCCTGTTTTGTCATGTTGGCCACTCTGATAGGTGTGATGTGGCACCTCACAGTTGTTTTGATTTGTATTTCTTTATTCAGTAGTGATTTAGAGCATTTTTTCATATAATTATAGATGGTTTTAATTTCTTCATCTGAGAACTGCCTGTTCATATCCTCTGACCATTTATCAATTGTGGAATGACTTGTATTCTTATAAATTTGACTCAGTTCTCTATATATTTTAGATATTCGGACTTTATTAGAGACATTTGCCATAAAAATTGTTTCCCAGCATTCTGCTTCCCTTCTAATCTTGGCTGCATTGGCTTTGTTTATGCAATATTTTTTTCAATTTAATGTAACCAAAGTCATACTTTTTGCATTTCATAATGAAACAAACATTTATTGAGTGCTTACTATGCTTTAGGCCCTGCGCTATCCATTTTAAGATTATTTTCTCATTTCATCTTCACAAAAGACATAGGAGGTAGGTGTTATTATTATCACCATTTTATATTTGATGAAGGTGAGATAAAGTGACTTGTCTTACATAACACATTTAGTGTCTAAGACTGGATTGAGAGTTGTGCCTTTCTTTTTTATTTAACTTTGAATTTATCAACAATCACTTCCATATGCTTTTGAGTTTAAATTTTTTCTCCACCTTCCTCCCCACCCCACCCCCAAGAAAATATACAATCCCACATATACTATACATTTAAATTCCTATTAAAGATATTTTCACATTAGTGAAGCTGTAAGTACAAATTCTCACTAGTGTTTTCATTTTGACCACTGCCTTCCTCAGTCCCTCCTCCCTTTCCCTTTTCTTCCCCTTTAGCCTTATTGCTTCTTCCCTCCCTTGTATTCCCCCCTCCCTTTTCTTTCCCCTTTTCCCTCCTACTGCCTATAGGGCAAGTTAGATTTCTATACCTAACTGATTATGTATTCCCTTCTTGAACCAAATCTGATGAGAATAAGGTTCAAACAATGCTCACCCCCTCCCTTCTTTCCCTCTGCTGTAATAGGATTTTCTGTCTTTTCCTGTAATGTAATTTACCTTTGTTGCCTCCTCCTTTCTCAGTACATTTTCTAAGATCACACTAATGAACTTACTTGGATCCACTTAACCCATTTGATTAGATTTTTTTTTATCATTACATCAAAGTCAACTAATATCCACCCAATTTATGTATACTCCTTACATGGTGTAATAACAATACAGTTCTCAAGAGATGCAAGTGTCATCTTCACTTGTCTGGATGCAAACAGTCCACCCTTATTAACAACATATTGTATCTTTATGTTCTATTTACCTTTTCATGTCTTTCTTGAGTCTGGTACTTGAAGATCAAATTTTTTGTTGAGCTCTGGTCTTTTTATCAGGAAGGCTTGGAAGTCCCCTATTTCATTGAATATCCATTTCCCCTCTTGAAAAATCATGCTCATTTTTGCAGGGTAGTTGATCCTTGGCTATAATCCAAACTCCTTTGCCCTATGGAATATCCACACCCTGCAGTCTTTTAATGTAGAAGCTGCAAGGTCCTGTGTAATCCTGACTGTGGTTCCATGATTTTAAATTTTTCTTTCTGGCTGCTTGCAGCACCTTCTCTTTCATCTGGTAATTTTGGAATTTTGCTATTATATTCCTTGGCATTGTCAATTTGGGATCTCTTTCAGGTGGTGAGTGTGTATTCTTTTCTGGTTCTACTTCAGGCAGTTTTCCTTTATGATTTCCTGAAAGATACAGTCCAGGCTCTTTTTTTCATCGTGATTTTCCAGGTAGTCCAATGACTTTTAAATTGTCTCTCCTGAATCAATTTTCCAGGTGGGTTGTTTTACCAACGAGGTATTTTATGTTTTCATCTATTTTTTTTTTTTTGTTTCTGTTTGACTGATTCTTGCTCTCTTATAGAGTCATTAGTTTCCATTTGTCCAATTCTAGTTTTTAACAGATTGTTTTCTTCTGTTAGTTTTTGTACTTCCTTCTCCAATTGGCCAATGTATATTTTTTAAGGGATTTGTTTTCTTCAGTGTACTTTTTTTCCACTTTGCCAATTGTGCTTTTTAGGGACTTGTTTTCTTCAGTGTACTTTTTTTTTCCCCAATTGGCCAATTGTATTTTTTAAGGACTCTTCTACTTCTCTCATTAGACTTTTAAAATCCTTCTTGAGCTCTTCTAAGAAGGCTTTTTGGGCTTCAGACCAGTTCATATTCCCTTTTGATGTTGCAGATGTGGGTTTGTTGACAATGTTGTCCTCTTCAGAATTTCTGTCTTGATCTTCACTCTTCTCATAATATGAATCTATGGTCTGTTTCTTTTTACTCATGGAGTTTCTGTATTCCCTGGCCTTTAAAGAGATTGAGCTCTCCTGCTGGGGAACACAGGGCGCTGACCCAAGCTTCTTCTGTTTTTGAGCCTAGGTCTTGGTCACTGGCTTTGTGTGCTGGGGCCTCTTATGTTGGCAGTTGGAGGCTGTAGGTTTGGCAGCTTACCTGTTGGGCTGGAATCAGCAAGGCTGGAACTTTCAGGCAGTTCTAGGTGGCCTGCTTTTCCTTTCCTTTAGCTTTCTTCAGCTCCTTTTAGGTGGATGGTGCAGGGTGTTTATCTGCCTGGGGCCCTTGCAGTGCTGCCCCTCTCATTTCTGCTAATGCCCTGGGAGATTCCACTGAGGCAGAGTGCTAAGGAGCCTGATGGTTCTATGAGCTGGTTTCCACCGGTCCCCCCCACCCTCACTGAGGTGCTTGGAGGTCCCGGTGTTGGTGTTTGCCTGCCGCACACCTGGGCTTCAGGATCTCCTCCTGGTTGACAGTTGGAGGCTGTAGGGTGTTGGCAGCTTACCCGGTTGGGGGAGGATCAGCAAGGCTGGGGCTTCAGGAAGACTCCAGGTTGCTTCCT